CCAGGCGGCGTTACAGAATGCAACTCAGGAAAAGAAATAGAGATGCTCTTCAATCATTAACTGGCTACACTAGTGTCATCCTATTTGCATGAACACTTTCACAATGTTTTGGGGCATGATCCCTCTCCAGCTTCAGCTACAGCCAACTTGGATCAAGACACTAAATACAAGACAGAGAGGCATGCATATAAATCAGGCATCCTCAATGACTGACAGCATCTCCTCCATTTGACCCAGGAATGACCTAGGTCAGGTGGATACCATTTCATGAATGGAGGTTATGAACTGCAGAGGGGCCATGGATGTTTATTACCCAATGCTCCAAGAGTTATACTGTCAGCTGAACTGGCTAAGACTCTCAGAATAATGTCTTTGCTCTAATCTTTGTTGTTGTGCTCCTTAACCTTCACCGTGTGACAGGGTCATCCTCATCATAAGTATCTACTCTCCCATCCAAATTGCTGTCACTGCAAGCCACATTTACTGCATTGCCACAAAGTGCTGAAGGGGGTCTGGAACCTTTTACTACCAAGCATGAGAATGGACCGGGGAAGGGAACTGTATCAGAATCAGTCTTAAGGGGGTATCTTCTACGTGTATAAGGTTTTCTCCGAAGAGAGAGAAAGTCTAATGGGTCAGGTTTACCATCCCCACATTGGAAAGCTTATGTATGTAGAGGTAGACTCTTTCTGAATGACACCAATAACACATCAATTGGAGTGCACTTGCCGGTGCTTGGGGTAATGTTGAGGGAATAGGGCTAAGCACAAACATTCCCAGGGGCTCCTTCACGGATGCTAAATATGTAAATAGCGGCTGGTCTACACAGGGAGCAGAATCACTTGATGTTTCTCAACAGGGCCATTCAACCTTCAAGTAGGTTTGGCTAGAAAACATGGTTTTAGTGTCCACCTACCAAAGTAAAATAAAATTAAAACACTTCCTGTGAACAAAATTCACACATGTCATGGAAAATATGGTTTGAGCCTAGCCTCTTTCTTTCAGACATCCTAGTTTTCTATGATCTCAGATTTGTTTTTAGTTGTCTCCTGCTGTCAGTCTGATATATTACGGTCCGGGGTGGGGCTGGGGAATCACTGTACTATGGAATTGTTCTGCATGTATAGATCAGTACTAAAATGAGTGTTGAGTTGTATTAATTCTGAAACCATCTTGCTAGTGCTTCACTACTGGCTGAACCACCTATCCATGGATCAACCCAACTCATTTTTCACATGACAAGTTAACCTCCCATCCCCCCCCCCCCCAAAAAACCCAACCCTGTTCCTACTTAGAAGTTCAGTGTAAGGATGCTCAGAGACAGAAGCTGTGTACATGCTAAAAGCTTTAAAACACAGCTATCTATCATACCTTTTTCTCAGTTTGGATCAAAGCTGGTTTGGAGGAAAATGCATCCAAACACACTATCTCCTAAGAAACAACAGGCTAGATATGGAATGTGACTAATTTCATGGTTATGCTGCTTGCCAAACCAGCAGTGGGAGAACAATGGATGAGGAGTAAATGGGAGTGTGTACACAGCCTAGATTTCCCATTGTAGGGGAAAAGGCACATCTAGGACGGATGCACTGCAAGAGCAGGACCTCTCCTCCAACTGGGGCCACACTCCATTGCTTACTTAGCACAATGGTGAATCCGCATGTGACTGGAGACAAGACCCAGCTGTGAATTGAAAAAAAGAGCATGGCACCGTGTCCCTTTGCTTTCTTTCCGTGTCAACCATTTGGATGGGCAGCCACTGGGAGGATTAAAGGAAAGGCAGCCCTAATACTCTGAGCAGTAAATAAATTAGGTCAAGCCAATTCTTGACGGGCTTGCTATGACAATATAATGACAGCTAGATGCATGCTCTCCTTTTGACCAAACAGAGCTAGTTTTTTCTAATTTCTATAGAATTCGTTCAGCACGGAGGGGAGCAGCAGTTAGAAGTCGCATTAAGCTATGTTGTACTGTCCTTCAATAAAACAACTGGTGCAGGTAGGGAAAGGAAGAGTTAGGTCAAAGCTATTATTACTGTGTCAATATAATCACGGACGGGTTCCATTTCAAGGTCGCTTGCCTTTTGCCTGGATGGGGTGTTACCGAGGAATCATCATTTTGAGCTTTAGGCTCAAAGTGCCCATGCCAACCTCTACCTACAGCAGCCTTTGCCAACCTGGTGCTCTCCACACCAGGACCACCATTTTGGACTACAACTGTCATCAGAACCAACCAGCACCAGACTGGCAAAGGCTGACCTATATCTGTCAAAAGGAGGGACTCTGGCCAGTTAGGCACAGCAACCCAAGACTCCCAAGACAAGCAAATGTCTTCCTCTTTACCTGCTTCCTAACCTAATTAAACCCTTCAAGGAACATTATTCAGAGCACTACCAGAGGAGACTCTACGCTTGATATACTGCAAGCCAGCAGTAGACACATCATAGAAATACGTGTGAACATCCATTACATCCATATGATGCACACTGCAGCTTTTGAACTCCACACTTCTGCACTCAGAAACCATGGGAAGAAAGCTTAGGTCCACTAATATTCCAGACACCTTATCCACCTTATCTTTTTTTGTTCGCTGTGGAAGAAAACCCTCCCTTGAATACAAAGCCTCCAAGAGTTTTCTCTTCAAAACCCTCAGCGTTCAGTCCTACCATAGCCAAGCCCAGTTCATTCAGCCGTGGTGAACAAGAGGCTGGTCTGTTTCCTCCCTCCTAGTTAGCTCAGCTGCTGTTCCTACTTTCTTCCCCTAGTGATCCCTTCCATCTTCTACATCTTTGCTATTTTCTTACATGTTTAAAGTTAGGACACAAAGCATTCGAAGCAGTTTTGTACCATACTGAGCTCCAGGAAGCCTATGAGGGCCCAAGGTATCCTCAGCCTTCCATCACAGCCTTTTCCCCAATTGTTCACCAACAAGGCACCTTGTTCTCCAAGAACCAGGCTTGGGAAGTCACAAGGAGCAGCTCCAAGCAACCACCAGTGTCAGAGTGTTGAGGGCAACTGCTGATTCACTGCAGCCACCTGAAGACAAGCCTTTCCCCACTCTTCTTGCCTTGAAATAGGCAATATCTGCACCTGGTTCCTCTCTTTAACGTCTCATGCAGGTACCTGTGCTGCTATGCAGCAATGTGTACTTACACCCCAAATTTCCTTACCTAGCCTGGTTCAGTTCCACACCTAACCTATCGAGCACCCATCATCCTCTCCTTCCTATATTTAGTATCACGACCATCGTGTAATTCTCACTGCCTGTATTTAGCCAAATAATTGCTGCCCCAGTACTGAGCAGGCCTTTGTAATTAATTGATCTCTGTGTTTTGTGAGAAACAGCATACCGCTTCTGAACTCCGATCTGTTGTTGTGTTGCTCATCTGCCCCTTCTTTAAGTGTATAATTCGTCCCATCTCACACTGTCACTCAAACTAAAGATCTGAACAAGTGTTCGTCTTGTACATGTGCATTCCTCAACATGCGTGGACAAGGACACACAGTAATAAGAATTAATTTTTCCTAATTAAATCTTTCTAACTATGTACTCAGTATGAGAGGGAGGGGGCTCAGGTATAGCATTACTAGATTTCTAAGTATCCTCAGCAGCACTGCTGGTTTTTAAAAAAAATATCCTCAGCTCCCTGTGCTGCAGTTTGGAGTGAAATTGCACCAATTGTCTTTACAGCAACAGTGACAATCTAATGACTTAATAACACATTTTTTAAAATATGGGGGGGGAGAGAAGGGGTGTGTGTGTGTGTGTGTGTGTGTTTGCAGTTTCAATTAAAAACATTATTCCTCAGTGCCTTGGGAAATATAACTAAACAACTTTGTAGTACAGGATGTTCAGCAGGAAACATGAGTTTAGTGGCGATTTGGAAATATACCACATTTTTCCCTGTATAACATGATCCCATGTATAAGACAAACCCTACTTTGGGGAGCCCAAAATTAAGAAATCAGTATTTTAAAGTTCAGTTTTTTAGGGAAATCACCCAAAGAGTTGAGCTTTTTTTGGGGGGGGGAATCACCTTTTGTGTGATCCCCCATGCTTTGGCACAGCAGGTGAGAGCTGACAGAATCGTGGCCAAGTTCCCTCCTCGCCTCGGCACCATCTTGCCTCTCCAACCAGCTCCACAGCACTGATGACTCAGGAGCCACCAGTTCACCCAAGGCTTACTGTATAAATCCATGTATAAGACGACCCCCAATTTTTGACAAAAAAATTTGGGGGGAAATCAACATCTTGTACAAGGAAAAATGTGGTGTGTGAGTCTAGGGCAGGCTCACCAGCTGGATGCCCTTCAGATGTTTTGGACTGCAATTCCTATCAGTTTCACCCAGTACAAATGTGCTGGCTGCAGCTGATAGGAATAGTCATTCCAAACATCTGGAGTGTGCCACTGGTTGGGACCAATGACATTATAAGCCATAACATCTAGAGGGCACCAGGATGGCAAAGGCTGGCCTAGGGTGTCCTTAAAGAGAAGATACAGCAGTGCTTCCTTCCCAGATGGTGTGACATGATTCATTTCCATTTTCCTTGGCCTATCATGACCCATGTTACATGTGCCAGAAGAATCAGGTTTGAGTACAGTCACTTCATAGCATGTTCTGGCTGCCTCCCATTTGTGATACTTAAAAATGGATGCTGTGTTGCCATGTATGTTTCTACCACAGTCCATTTAAAAAAAAGAGTTCTTCTCCAGGTTGAGGAGTTGGGAACCCTTCCATTTTTGGTGTAACTCCATTATGACACAAAGGAGGCAGCTCACTCCATCCCAAAAATGGTGTGTGCATGCAGTTAAACACCAGTGTAGTGCAATAGTTGGAGCAGAGGTTCTCAAACTGTTTTCTCTGGGCCACACTTTCAGAATAAATATTTGCTCTTGCCAAATTTTTAATTGATAAGAAATACATTGGGAAAACACACATAAAAAAAAAACTTCTGGCAGTTGTTCCATTTATTCTACAAATTACAAAATAAACTTTTTTGATACTATAATATACTAATCTGAAATGTTTAATTGTTTCTTTGATTGTCCTTGAATATTCCCCACCACACTTGCCATCCTCTTCTGCCACACCCTTTGAGAACCACTGGTTTGGGTGTTGGGATTATGGCCCAGGAGACGATGGGCCATTCTAGTTCAGTGTTGTCTACACTGACTGATAGAGGCTCTCCAGGGTTACAGACAATGCTCTCTCCCAACCCTACCTGGAGAATTCAGGGATTGAACCTGGGACCTTCCACATGCAATGCTCTACCACTGAGTTGCAGCCTAAACTGGATATGAAAATCAGTCACTCTGCCCAGGCGGCCCTTGGTACCATAGCTCTGGAACAGACATCTTCAGCAGAGAAGGTTCAGATCTTTGGGGGAAGCAACACCATTCGAACTGGTATGAAACCAACCTAAGTTTGTTGTGCACATATACATTTCCTGCAAAGACTTTAGGTGGCACTACAAAGAGCTAAAAAAAATAAGGCTAGTTCTCATTTGTTATGGTACCACATTGCAAGACTACAAAGCAGAGCCTGAAGCTCTAATCAACTTGCACAGCTTATCTGCCTTACATTAATGCTCAATTATATTCTGCTGATTAGCACACAAAGAACCTGCACTTCCTCAGATCATGCTGGTTGATGTTTCAGGTCAGGAAAAGCCCCGTGAAGAGTTGATGTTAGTGAGAGGGTTTCTTTCTCTCTCTCTCTCTGTAAGCTTTCGCTTTCACTGAATGGCCACAAACTGCCTGTGGCCACAGAGTGGAAGGTGTGGGGCTGCTGGCCAGGAAAGCAGCCCTGGAACTCAAGTACAGATTTCTGTACCTCTCAGGGCCGTCTTACCCATAGACACTAGTGGTGTGGGGTGCCGGGGCACCAAGTTCTGGAGGGCACCAGGCGAGAGTCCGGGGAACACCAAATGAGCGTGCAGAGTGAGCGAGGGTGCATGCACCGCTCCCACCGAGTGTCGGCTCGGTTTTTTCCCTTTTAGCCTGCAGGCGCCGAATTCTGTGGGGCGCCAAAAGGCTAAAAGGGAAAAAACTGAGCCAATGCTCAGTAGGAGTGGCGCTCAGTGTGCTCGCTCGCCCAAAGGGTTGAGGCACAAGCACACACGGCGCCCCTCCTGCTAGCCGTATTCATCTTCGAGCAAGGCATCAGGCACCATGGATCTCCACAGGGCCGGCTCCCCCGGCCCGCTCGCCACCCTCACCTGCCTCCATCATGCCACGCCAAAGCAGCGCCGCGCCCGGAGCCTCTGCCTGCTGTGGCCACCGCGGCACGAAGTAGCCAGCTGAGCCCGCCTCCTCCAGCCCCCGCAAAGCTGGGCATGTCACCAGCAGTGCCATCCCATCCCAAGAGGCTTCCTCCGCCGCTGCTGGTGTTCCCTCCCTAAAAAAAGGTTGACAACTCTGGGACATGTGATGTGGGGGGGGGGGCACTGGAGGAATCTTTGCACCACAGCGTCGGATATGCTTAAGACGGCCCTGGTACCTCTCAGTGGAGACTCACCTCCTGTGTTTCATCACAATGGCTGTAGACATTTACAAGAGCAAGAGCGACAATCATCTAGCCCAGATCATCATTCTGCAGCTATGCTCCTTTACAAAAGTGGGTGGGTAGGAAATCATTGTTTTTTGTATGTAACATTGACCCAAAGCTTGCTCTATAAAGATAAAACCACTAGCATGAAATTGCTGCAAAGGAGGATCCACAATGAGGACCCAACCTGCAGGCATCAATTGTTCTGCAAGCCACATCCAGATGTTGGCAACGGCTGGAGGTCCTGTGCCTGCCTTTTGCTCTTGTCGCTGTGAACGATGAGCACATATGTTGGGAGCCTCCAGCTCACTTGAAAACAACATCAGAGATCCCTCCTCAAGGTAGCTGCCAGCCAGTCGCTCGCCCAAAATCAAGGCACCCACCTTGGCCTTAACAATGAACCCTGCACCACTTCAAGTCTTCAAAGGATGGTTGATGGGGAGAGCTTAAAGAGGGTGGTGGAGAAGGGTATTTCGTGGGGGAATCTAAGCGGGAGGGGAATCAGAGAGAGAGATACGGAGACGTGCCTGAGGAATCCCTCAAAGCTGCCCCACCCCCTCCATCATCGCCTCCTTGAAAGCACTTCAAGACACCGATCAGGCAGGCAACCTCCCAGAAAAACCACGAAGAGCTGCCTCAGAAGGCGAAACGGGAAGCCAGGTAACGAGGGACGGAGATCAGCTTTGGTAATGGTCACCTTGCGTGTCCATTCTCTACACAGGAGAAAAAACGCTTTCGGAGACTCACGCCTTCACGCACAGGCAGAAGGAGCTAGCCTGCTGCGAAGGAGCCCCCTCCCTTAAGTCTCCAGCATCAGCAAGAAAAGTGGGTCAGGCAGATCGCTCGTTGCACAGGGAGTAGTCACGAGCTGGAAAATGCCTGCTCCCCCCGCCCGGACCCCTTTGCTTATCCTCAAAAGCGCTGGATCCCCTCCTCCGCTCCTCTTTCACCTTCCCAATGCGATTAGGTATCGATTCCCGCCTTCCCTGCCCGACCCCTCTATAGGACCAAGCGCCTTCGCATTATCCAACCGCTCAGCCATTCCACCTGCAGAAAACCACTCGGTTTGGCGCGATTCTGCTCGGTAAAGTCACATCCTGGGCCCCGGGCTCGCGGGAATGTGGATCCCGAGGCAGGTGGGGAGGGAGGAGGGAGGCGAGAGCAGGCTTGGAAGAGGCGATCCATCGCGGCTCCTCTCCGTACCACCCACGGCGTTTTAACAAGGAAATCGCTTCTCCAACCAAAACAACCGCGAAGGCGCCTTCCACACCAGTAGCGCGTCCTGGAGAAAGCCTCTCCAAACGCGCACACCCCTAAACTTTACGCACAGTTCAATCCGCAACCTTCCGCCCTACTTACTCCCACCTACCCCTCCAAAAAACACCCCTCCAAGGAATATCCTTCCCTTTGCTTTACATTCCCCCGGAGAGGGGTAAAAAGTTCGGTACACACTGCAGCTTCACGGACAGCTATAAACACTGGGAGGGGTGTGTGTGTCTTGTATATACACTCGACAACCTCCATTTCTGTCAGGGCCACACCTCCAAAGGGTCCGCGCGCCACAATTTTGGGGATCACCCCTCTTCCTTGCCAGCAATCTCGCCACCTCAAGCAAATCACCACTCGGCCCTCCTCCCAAAAAAAGCCACCCAGAGATCTATTCTCCTTTTAACACCACCCCCCATCCCCATCAGGCCCGCCTTGGTGTGCAACTGGCCAGAGGTCAAGGTGAACCACCGCTAAGGTCGCACCAAGGGGAACGAAGGAAGGAGAGAGGCGCATCTAGAGCTCTATAGACGGAGAGAGATAGGGAGAGAAAAAGGTTCCACTTACGCACTGCCTCCTGCTTGGGATCCAGGCTGTGTATAACCCCTTGGACGCCGCCGATCCTGCCGTGCAGCGCCCGGACCCTGCGCTGGGTGATCTGGATCTCGCCCTCGATCTCCTGAAAGAGGGCGCACGCATGCCGGGCCACATCGGAGAGCTGCCGGAGGATCCGCGACAGAGCCACGTTGCTGAGCGAGCACAGGTCCAGCACCATCAGCGCCGCCGCCTCCTTCTCCTGCCCATCGGCCGGCAGCACCACCGCCAGCCCCGCGGCTTCTTCCTCCGGCTCGTCTGTGGCAGCCGACGCCGCTGCCGCTTCGCCCGGCTCCTCTCTCGGGCTGCTCCCCGGCTGAGGGGGAGCAGGAGGCGGCGGCGGCTCGCCTCCCGCGCCCTCGTCCAGCACCGAGGCGATGGGCTGCCGGCGGCACAACCACTGCGGCTCCACGATCCGCTTGGCGAAAGGCATGGCTGGGGAGAGAGCCTGGGCGAGCGCCGCGCTTCGCCCTCCGAAGAAGCCGCTGCCGCCCTCGCGTCCCCGGCGCCGAGTGTGTCTCTCCGGGCTCTTTCCAAACTCGCCTGGCTTCCTCCTCCGCCCGAGCGCCCGTCACTTGCTAGCAGCCGGCATGGGAAGGCGCCGGGTCCCCCATGATCTCTCTCCGCGCGGGCTCCGGGGAAGCGGCCGCGGCCACCTTCGCTGCTGCTGCTGCTGCTCAGTTCCTTCCTTCCTTCCCACCCGCCTCCTCTGCCGCCGCCTCGCTCTCCTCCTCCTTCTCCTTCTCCAGCTGCTGCTCCCGGCAAGCTCCCTCCTCTGCCGCGCGCCCCTTGCTTCGCTACGCAGCCCGAGCCTTCGGCGCGAGAGGTGGATTTTAACAGGGCGCCTTGAAAACCCGGAGAAAGGAACGCGCGCCGCTCTTTTGTGAGGAGGAGCAGAGCAGGCAGGCAGGGAGAGACACCCACTCAGCGCAGGGAAGGAGGCGGCGGCGGGCACAGAGAGGCATTCCCCCTCGCGACCACGAGGGGACACTGCAGGCTCCGCGCAGCGCCTGGTTGGCTGGCTGGCTGGCTGGCTGGCTGGCTAGCTAGCGGACTACCACCATCAGTGGATGAGAACTTGGGAGCTGGAGGGAGGATTTTGGAAGTTTGGCAGCCCAAGGAAAACATCGCCTTCGAGATGCGCCCAGAGAGAGGAGAGGAGAGGTGTGCGCTGGGCCAGGGGGTTTCGAAAAGCAGAAAGGAGGTCCTTCCTTAGTAATGCCACTGTGTTAATTAAGGCTGCAGTCTTTTTTTTTCCAGGGAGGAAGCGCAGACCAAGTTTGACAGCATTTGACAACTCGGTGCCCTCCTAATGTTTTGGAGTTCCCATGTTCCTGGCTTCCAAAGGGTCACAAGCTGGAGAGACCAATCAAGTCCCACCTCTCTTCCATGGAGTCAGTGAGTGGCGTTTGACAAACGGGCTAGTCTCACAAGAACAGGGGGAGCACCTTAAAACACTTTGCAAAATTACAGCACAGTGTCAATAATCAGCAGCCAGGGATTGCTTGGAAAGCGCTCAGCCCTGGGACTCCAAAAGACCTTCTCCAGAAGGACAAGAGCATCTAAGAGCATAATTCAGAATGAATAATTTAGTAAGTTTAACGCAGTGTAGAAATTACAAGCGATGTCCTTTGACATTGGACAAGCACGTAGGAGATAAAATGCAAAGCTATTTCAGCTTGCCCTGAATGCATTCTGGCTACCACCCTTCATTGGCCTATTTTGCAGGAAGAGGCTGCTGACTTTGGTGCTCAGGGATCCCCTGGTCCTCACTTGGCTGTTGCCTTGTTTGATGCAGTTCATAAACAAGTTAAAGCCAATGAAATAACTGGATTGAAGGTTCTAATCCTGAATGCAAGCCCTGCAGTAATTACACTAGGGACCAGTCTCCAGGTTACGGTCAAAACATGGCAACAGTTTGAAACAAACTCTTTCTGGCAGGTGGACCATAGATCTGCAGAGACGAAATGGGCAAATGATCACCAGTTTCTGCACAGTCCCCTCTTTATGCACACACACATAGATGCACCTGTGGGCATTTGGCATTGCTTTCTTGCTGAAGCTGCGCAGGTCTTGGTCTGGTCAGTACCTAACTTTGACGGGAGATTGTCTTGGGAACCCCTGTACGCATCCAGTGGATTTAATGACTGAGGAAAGGCAAGCTATAATATAAATGTGGAAAATAAATGCAATAGTCTCTTTCTCTAGGCGGTCTGTATCCTTTGCACAGATCCTGCAGGCCCAGCCCTATCACTGGCAGAGCGTGGCAAGTACTTCAGGTAGCAGATGCTGGGAGCAGGAAATGTAGGGAAGGTGTAAGAGGACAGAGCTGTCAGCTGTGCATGTGCTATACAGTCTGCCCTTTGGACAAGCCTGACCAAATAAGATTCAACTCCCAATTGGTTGGGCTCAAAGGAGACGGGCTCACCAGCTTGTCAATTTCCCTTGATGCAGCAAAAGGTCGGGAGTCAACCCTGCATGTTACAGAGGTTATCTTTGCACCTCTTGGCAAAGGACCATAACTCAGTGGTAGAGAAGCTAGCTGCTCTGAGGGTGGAAGATCCCAGATTCCAGGTATGGAGAGACTCGTACCTGAAATCCCTGAGGGCCACTACTAGTCAGTACAGACAAAGCTGAGCTAGAAGGACTGCACAGCCAATGGAGGGTTAAATTCTGCCCTCCCACCCATCAGCTGATATGTCAGCTGGTGGGTGAGTGGGCGTGGTTTAAGAAAAATGGAGCCGCAGGCCAAACTGGATCCCCCGGGAGGCCAAAACTGGCCCACAGGCTGAAGGAATCTACCCCTGCCCTAAATGGACCATCTTATGCACCATATTCTGATTCGCACAATGGCTAACCCACTGTTTCCAGAAAGTCCACACACAGGGCTTGAAGTTTCACTCGCACACACTCCTGCCATTGCCCCCAGCATCCTGCCGCTGAACAGAGATGCTTCCTTTAACTATATGACTATACTAAAAAGGGCAGGGAGGAAAGAGGTAACTTCTGTTATTGCTTCTATTACTATGACTTGCAAACCAAAACAGTAGCCTCCTTAGGGAAGCTGTATATCTCCCAAATCCAAACATAACTGCTCAGGCAAGCACCTGGAAAAATCATCTAATGCCTTTTGGCTTAAAAACTGTAGCATTTACCCCAAAAGCCTTTGCTTTTTCAGTTTCATGTGTACATATTTTCTTATGTAATATTCTTATTTTCTTAGGTGGGGCATTACCCACCCTGGAATTGACATTTCATCCTCCTGTGCATATAAGTTAAGGTGGTAGTTGCCCCTCCCTCACCCTCCCAAAAATGTTCAATATCTTTTTTAGAAAACCAGCAGTTAAACAAGTCCGATTTGGACCATTTTGGCCTCTTAGGACTACAGTAAATTGGAATCATTATTTAAAATGAATGCATTCTGAAAGGCTGTGTTTTTCTATACTTTCTTTAGGCATGGTTTTGATTTAGTTTCTTTAATGAACTGAGCACCAGCTGTTTAATTTGGTAATGTTCCTCATTGCTCTCTGAGCTCTCCAACTCATCACCAAGGCCTGACTCATTTATTAATTCAGGAATAGGAAACCAGTGCTCTAGCCAGATAGTGTTGAACTCCAAATCCCATTAGCCCCAGCCAGTGGGTCCAATGATCAGGGGTGATGGAAATTGTAGTCCAGCAACCAATGATCAGGGGTGATGGAAATTGTAGTCCAGCCTACAGCTTCCCCATCTCTACCGTGTTTTGGTTCTTACTTAATGATTCACATGTATTCATGATCTGAGTATCTCAAATGTGTTTGCTATGGCAAAGAAACAGATTTGTACTCACAGAAGCTTCTCCAGTTCAAGGTATTTCTGTTTATGAGACAACAAATTGAAACAGGACACTCTGTAAAGCAAAATGTAGTATATTAACCCATTTGATAATTTGGTGCTATTTTGTTATACATTTCCCACCTACTTTGCTCTAGAAAAGGAACAGCCCTAGATAGAAGACCATTAACTTTACTATTTGGAAGATATTTACTACAATATGGCTGCCTGGGTAGAGAATCCAAGAGAGATTTAGGTGAGGCAAAGAGAATGGAATGCTTTGGTCTTTCTTAAAGGTAAAGGCACATGTATCACATGCAGTAGTCACTTCCTTATGACCTGGTCCTACATCACCTTGGTAAAGTTAGTAAAGGAGCAGTCAGTGACTACTAACAGTAGATTCTTGGCTATTTCAAGTTAGAGCATTCATTCATTCACACTGAGGTTCAGCTCCGAGGGCCTTCTGGCAGTTTCCTCCCTGCAAGAAGCGAAGTTACAGGGAACCAGGCAGAGGGCCTTCTCGCTTGTGGCACCTGCCCTGTGGAACGCTCTCCCATCAGATGTCAAGGAAATAAACAACTATCTGACTTTTAGAAGAACATCTGAAGGCAGCCCTGTTTAGGGAAGCTTTTTATGTCTTACGTTTTATTGTATTTTTAATATTTTGTTGGAAGCTGCCCAGAGTGGCTGGGGTATTATTATTATTATTATTATCAATTCATTCCTTGAAAGTAGTTCAATGAGAATTAATCAGAAAAACACCATCAGACTTTCCTAATTTTTTTCAACGTGGGCCCTGTTGATGGATATAAAGCCAAAGATGTTGAAGTCTTGATGGGTCTTTGGATAGGAAGTCACCATTCTTTTCCATCACAAGAGGGTAATCAAGGTCAGGGTGCTTGTGCCAATTGTGATAAGAATTTAAGTCCTGCTGACTGTAAGCCCATCTAGTCCAGCATCCTTTCTCACGTTGGCCAACCAGGTGCCCATGGGAAGCCCAGAAGCAGGTCCCAAGTAGAACATTGCCATCATGGATGGTAGCCAATGAAAGCCCTATCCTCTTTTAAAGCTGTCCAAGTTGGCAGCCATCACTACATTTGGGGGGGGGGGGATTCCACCGTAAATTATTACATGTGTAACTTACCTTTTCTCATAGAAGCTCAAGGTGATTTAAACATATGCACTGTGTAATTAAGTACTTTTTTTTTTGTCTGTCCTGCCTTTTCTAAGTACAGTGGTACCTTGGGTTAAGAACTTAATTCGTTCCAGAGGTCCATTCTTAACCTGAAACTGTTCTTAACCTGAAGCACCACTTTAGCTAATGGGACCTCCTGCTGCGCCACCGGAGCATGATTTCTGTTCTCATCCTGAAGCAAAGTTCTTAACCCAAGGTACTATTTCTGGGTTAACGGAGTCTGTAACCTGAAGCGTCTGTAACCCGAGGTACCACTGTATTCTAATATTATGAGAGAGGAACAATAATTGTTCTCTAGGTCAACATATTCCTCAAGCCATCCACTATGGCCCCAAGGTCTTGTTCCTGATCAGTCACTGCTAGCTCAGATTCCATGAGCACATATATGAAATTAGGATTTATTTTTTTGCCCCAATATACATCACTTTACACCGGCTTACATTGAATTGCATTTGGCATTTTACTGTCCATCCACCCAGTCTGGAGAATGTTGTAAAATCAGAGAACTTGACTATCTCACTGCTGACTCCTAACTCCAGATCATTTATGAACAAGGTAAAAGGCACTGGTCCCCTTGGGTACTCTACTTCCGACATTCCACTTCTATTGGGAGAACTGTCCATTTAATCCTAGGACTGGTCCTAATATCCTTGTTACTGTGCATTTGTGATTATCGGTGCTCATCATGTTATTGGGAAGTCCATACAAAACTCTTGACTTCAATACTCCTGCTGCCTGCAAATTGTTTCTGCTTCATTTCCAAGCAAATTACATTCTGTAAGCTGCTGAAA